ACTTCTACATCAAGTGCTTCATCTTCATTGCCATCTTGGTTAAGGTTCACAATGAAAGCTTGAACTGGGACCTCAAGTTTGCTCCAAGTGTATGACAATGGGGATTTATCCGAAGTCACCTCAATGTTGGTGCGATTTTTTGCATGGGAAATGTGTCTCCGTCTTCGTTTTTGGCCATCCTTCAATAAAATGCAATAAACATGTTATGAGATGCTTCATCTTTGAGTTGTTCTAAAATTTATTGTCTCTGCTCAAGAGAGACTGAAAAATGAGCAAAAGAAATAGGCAATATTGTACCATTTTTATGGGATGATGAGACAGTGAGAGCAAAAGCAAACATCATAAACAACACCTATGTTTTTCTCATCTTAAAAACATTATTTTTGTTTGGTGTATACCTGCCCTGCAATGGATTTATTTATCAGATAAGGTAAAGCAGGGCCTCCTATATACAAGTCTACTGTACTTTCAAAGATGCTATAAAATTTTAAATTGCAATGAAACAATTTCAGCTCATAATTTTAAGGAATTATAGAAAACTAAAATATGCAACTTTTTTTGCCTTAAACTGCAGAATAAATTAGTTGACAGGACACTGATCTTGGGGGTGAGGATTAGCTTGCCTAATTAGTCCCCCTTTTCTTGTGTTCTGCTTTCCTTAGAAACCATCATGCAAAATAATAAACCAAAGGTTTCCAGAAATTCTAGTTGTAGACATTTGAAGGGGAGCAGAGTATTTGAGTTATGCAGGTTTCTTATGCTGTATATTATATTTTGTTCTCAGGTTAATTCAGAAAGGGTTTCAAAAATTTACAAATTGTGAGGTTTCTGACTTGATGAGGTTCAATAAGCCATTCAGATCCAATACTGTACATTACATTTTCAATTTTTTTAATGATATCAACTACATATGATTCAGATATGCTTTGGATGCATTTTTCCTGTGTACCACTAATAGATTTCTCTGGTGAATAATTCCTTCCCTTCCATCATGTGGCAGATTGCCTAAATTCATACATGGTGTCAAAAATATACTGTATTGTTCCTCTTGAATTGACTGCATCCTAAATTTAAAAAGAGTATATTGGACTCATATGCAAGTTTCTTTTGAAGAATACAGTTACCTTGAAAAATGTTTTTGTGGTGTCATCTGAGTAGTTGAAAAGCTCCTCTGGGTCCAACCTCGCCTCATAAGTGCCTTTTACCTTTGAGTTGAATGCAGAAAATCCTCCATTGGATGTTTCCTGCAACAGCTTTTCCCATGGTTGAATTTCTCTTTCTATTTATGTGCATCAAAGAAAAAATGCATTTTACATTCAACTGTTTTCCGCATTGAGGGCAAACAGGAGTGACAGTCTTACTCTCTGGGTGAGACAAAGCAGGTGCAGCAGTAGCTGGTTGATTGATAAATTGTGCCAAGTTAACATTCCCATTGATGAGGTCTTGTGGAAAGTTGCTTCCTTTGTTGGACATTTGGATGCTTGAATCTGATGTGGAAAAGCTGTGCCTCCCTCCAGCTGTATAGCCATCATGACCTCCAAAAGTTGTTTTCACGTTCTCTTTCTTACCTATAAGGGAAGATAAATGCTGAGCAATCAACTGTGAAATTAATTTCTCTGGAAGTAATCTTCAGGCAATTCTTAGACATCTCCAGAGTCCCAAAATTAATTTAGAGGAATCATCCTGACACAATAAATGCCTATAGGTGATACATGTATCATCTATCTGATTGATACAGGTATGTGAACTTTTTTTTAATGACCTTGCATATACAGTACAATAAATTTGGACCTTGCTAAAACTGACCAACTCAAGTTGAAGACATGTGTATGTCAAATGTTTGTTTAACCCCTGTCTGAGTTCCCCTTGAAAAATATGTGATCAAGATCAGAGTTCCTAACTTGATATTTCTCTGAAACCTCTATATAACTCTAATTTCTTCTGGATCTTTTGGGCTATTATTCTTGGGGCCCAATTATTTTTGGGAAAAGCAACAAAGATTTAAATGAATGCTTTTCTGTAACAGAAGTAGAGTACAAAACTGTATATCACTAATTTGGAAAATGTGCTCTTTCTTTCATCTTCTGCATATTTACAAGTATTACAACTCATTTCTGAGAAGATCAAGGCCAAGAATTTTACTTATTTTACCCTTCTGTAATTCTTTAGTAAAAAACAGACCCATGTCATGCATGTTTCCCAAAATATATTCTAAACACACCAAGTTCCCTGAAAGACATGGGTCCAATGTTCCTCAGGGGTTCCAAAATCATTTGCTGAGTGTTGACAGGGGAAATTGTCTGTTTCTTAATGTCTGGTTTTTCTTCATGCACAAATGCCATTCCTGTTGACAAAAAAAGCATGTTATGGTAAACATTTGTTTGTGGCCTGTAGCTTATTTACTTCTTTTAACCCGCACCATCTTTGAGTGCAGGGGAAATCTCATAATTTTTGTCTTGACAAAATATGGAAATGCTGGAAATTTCACAACTTTCGACTTTGAAGTTGCTGCATTTGTTGATTCTGCCAAGACAAAATAAAAGCATCATAAAAATAAGATTCAAAAAATATCGCTATGAATATAGATGGCTGAAACCATTTTATCTTACTCTATTCATTTTTTGTTCTGTCATTCATTAAATGAATTTTTGGATTGAATAACCTGTAGCTTAACATTTTGAACTTTGATGGTCCAGATGGTAAATGCAAAATAATATGCCTGATGAATATTACTGCACTATGTAATGCCCAGCATGCATAAAATGGGTGGGTTGAGAAAGATTATCCATACAATTTTCATGAACTATTTCTAGGATGATTTATTGCATTTTTCACATAGAACAGGATGCTAAAAAAAGCTGCTACTCATTGACAAATTTGTTTTGTTGTGGATGAATGAAAGATTTTCAAACATGAATGACAGATGGGGAAAAAATTTTGCAAAACGTACNTTTATTTGAGTCAAGTAAAGATATATCTCTAGCAACACACCTTTGCAGTGAAGTAATGATGTTATTGCTCCATAAACAACCATATTAGATTTGAGTACTAACATTAAACTGAAGCAAAACTGATAGCAATTCAGCAAATTATAAATTTCCAACTCTCAGCATATAATCAGACCAGAGGGGTAGCAACTTTACTATATAAATGAAAATGAGCATTGAGATACATAAAGCCGTTTGACAAACCTAAATACTGCATGTGGTGTGGAAAAACTGCAAAAGTGAAGATAATTTTGACTCACCTGCTGACTCCTATATATTATAAATTTGGTGTAAAGAAAAATACACTTCTTGACATATGGAATGAGAAAAGTTTGCATATTTACCTGCATTGACTGTGCAGGACACACATAATACAATTATGAGGGATACAATGAAACCAAAAATGCAGGATGCCATGTTTGTTGGTCAACAAGTGATGCCACACTATATTGTAAGTAGGAGGTAAATTCAGTTTCCTGCTCATGAACTTTATCCTGGCTTGGGAAACACAAAAACTTCTCTTATCAGAAATAGCCTGAGAAATAATTAGTACCTAGGTAATCTAATTATTAAAATTCAGTCATATCTCTAGCTCTTCTCTCATAAAACAATTCTTGACTCAGCACCAGATCAAATTTCAGCTCCTAATATACCACTCAACAACTTCAAATTTGGTCAGTGACAAAATGGGCGTGTTCAATTCAGGATTAAATATCCAAAGCAAATATCAATGGCAGCCCGAGTTCATTGATGTATGCATATACATTGCGTATG